CATTATGCAACCAAAATAAAAATATATTTATATATATATAATAAATAACCGCTTGCAATTGGCATACGATAACGTTTGACTTTATTTCCTTATTAAAACGATTTTATTTTAAAAAAATATTTATAAATAAATCTATATATAATAGTAGTAGTATCATGTAGCATCCTCCCTCCCTCACTTGACATTTCGGATTCTTTGAAAAAGAGATTGAGTCAATTGCAATGGAGGAATCTGGTTGTCCGGCTGATTTCCGATGCCCGATTTCCATGGACCTCATGAGCGATCCGGTGACGATCTCTACGGGCGTCACCTACGACCGCAAGAACATAGAGAAATGGTTCTTCACTTTCAAGAAGACTACCTGTCCCGCCACCATGCAATTTGTCCACAGCTTCCACCTCACTCCCAATCACACCCTCAAGCGACTCATCCTCTCCTGGCAGAACACTCAATCTTCCTCATCTCCTCCTCCGCCTCCGCCGTTCTCCGCCAAGCACGACGAGCTGGTCTCCCTCCTCAGCACAGTCGAATCCTCTCCGTTTAAGGTCACCGCCTTGAAAAAGCTCCGATCCATTGTCGAAATTGGGGACGAGACTAAATCGGATTTCATCCGATCCGGTGGCGTTGAAATTCTCGCTCGAATAATCGTTCAGATTCTAATCGACGTTTTCGATTTCGTCGCGTTCCGAGCGTGCGAAGAGGCGCTCGGCGTTCTGCATAAGCTTCCGTTGTCGGATTCGGAAGATCAAAACAGTACATTCGAAATTTTGTCAAAAACAGAGTGCGTGAAATCAATGGCGATTATCCTTCAAAGAGGAAGCGCCGAAGCGAGGCTCCATGCGTCAACGATTTTCAGGAAAATGGCGAAGACTACTTCCGGTTACAATTGGAATTTCTTGCTTCAAGATCAAGGCATAGATTTCTTCAAATCTCTGTTAGAGTTGGTTTCCGACCAGATCTGCAGCAAGGCGAGTTCATGTGCGCTGGAGTTTCTAATCGAGATCTTAGAAACGTCGAAGAAGAGCCGATTCAAGGCGATAGAGTCCGGCGCCGTCTGCGTCCTAATTGAGCTCTTACCGGATTCAAACAGATCCAAAAGCGAGAAAATTTTGTTTCTGATAAAGTTACTCTGCGAATGCGCGGAAGGAAGACAGGCGCTGGTGGAGCACGGGTTGGGAATCGCCGCCGTATCTAAGAAACTGATGCTGGTCTCCAACACGGCGACGAAGATCGGCGTGAGGATCATGTGGCTGGTCGGAAGTTTTCATCCAACGGAGAGAGTTTTGGACGAAATGCTGATGTGTGGATCGGTGAAGAAGCTTTTGGCGTTGCTGCATTTGGACGGTAGATCGTCGACGAAGGAGAAGGTGATCAATATGTTGAAATTGCATGGGAATTATTGGAGTAAATATCCTTGTTTTCCTCATGAGATGAAGAATTATTTGGGGTTTTAACTAATTAATTGTATTGCCATAGAAAAATTAATATGCAAAATGCAATACAAATTTTCACAATATAAATGATCTTGAGAATGTAAGGGAAAATGTATGTTTTTACTTGATATTTCTTGGGTTTGTGAATTAATTAAAAACATACACAAAAGTCTAAATTTCTCCAACAAAAGAAGATTATAATTAAATTATTTAAGTTATTAATAAAAATATAAGTTTCTAATTAGACAATTACATATATGATTGATATTTTTTTTTTTGGAGATACAAAATATATTATTTTTCCTTTGCAATTAAAGGGTACAACTTACTTAACAACTTAAATAATTTAATAATCTTTTTTTTTTCAAAAGTAAAATGTATTAAATTTCAATTGCATGATATACAAATAAAATAAGATAAAAGATATAAGATGATTGTTTTTTATTATATAAAAAAAAAGTACGTGCAGTTTAAGTTAAGGGAAGCTGGAACTTAAAGAAATTGTAAATGCTAATATATCGGTTTCGGTGATTGATCCTTTTTTATCAACTGCACATAATATTTTTAATAAGAAACAGAAGGTGCATTCTCCTTGTACATTGGTGGTCATTGTAGTTCAAAAAGATTAACGGTGGAATGCATCCTAATTAGTGGTTGAACCTTATAAAAAATAAAATATTAACTTTTAATCCTTAACTCTTAAACAATTATTGCCTCTATCAAAAAAAAAAAAAGAAAAGAAACAGAAGGTTATTTTAAATCAGAAATAAATTTGTTATAATATTCTTTTAATATTTTAATAAAATAACATAAATTTTTAAAAAAATTTCTCTTCTTGTTGTTATTATTATTATTTTTGAAGTATGACATACATACACTAATATCTTAATAATGGAGGTAAGAAGGCAACCATTTCTGGAGCCCATTAATCAAAACAGAGGAAAATTAGAGGAAAAAAAAGTCATTTATCGGTGTTATCTGGTAGGGATCATCTATTTTTTCGTATTTTCTGTAAAGAAAACCAGTCAAACAACTAAACACACTGAGGCAGTGGTGGATAATGTGGCACGTCATGAACGTTGGGATGTAACAAAGCCAAACGTGTACACTATTTCACAAAGTAGAAACTGCTTAATTTAGTTAAAAATAAATTCAAGTTAAACGATAGAGTCCAGTATGTCTGCGACGCGGTTTCATCCCTCGAAATAAGATGAATGTAAAGAATTCTAAGACATCGTATTGGCTGGGATACCTCTACTGCGGAGTAGAGGTTATCATGACAAACGTATACTTTGGACATGGCAAGAGGGAGGGAGGGAGGGGGAGAGTAAGCAATTTGCAGTCGTAATGTGAATGCTATTGTTTATTAAGTCAACTAGATTCTTGGTTAAGCCACCTAATCTACTTATTGCCATTAGTTTTCCTCTTTTAGAATATCACAGACCCAATTATTTTTAACTTCTGTTTCCTTTTCTCTAATTTTTAAATTTCTTGGTTCATTCAGGAGAATTTTAATCTCTTTTAATTTAATTTTAGAAAGGATAATAATAGATGAAATTAAAGATTAATGACTTAATATAAACCAATTCATTTAAAATATTAAAAAATAAATTTTATATTATTTCATAATTAACTCTTTTTTTTCAATATCCTAAGTAATTCAATAATAATTTCTTTTCATTAAACGTAAAAAGTCATAAGTTCGAAAGGTGGTGCTATAAGGATAATTTTTTTATCCTATCTTTTTATACAATTTTCACGTGTCATTAAATAAGTGGATGCATTTAATATCATGGGTCTCACATGAATTAAAAGAACTAATCATTTAAATAATACGTCACGTTATATTAAAAGATGGTATAAAAAAGTTGTTCCAAAATCATTTCCCAAGTTCGAATTACATGGCACGTAGATGGGGTGGGCTAAAATAAGTGGGGTGAGTTAAAATAAGCGATAATAGATGATTACCTTTCATAAAAAATAAACTCTTTTTATTTTTTTTAAATCAATAATATTATATATACTAATTTATTTAATGACCTAATTTATATTAGGTTACTGATCAATAATATTCGTCTTCAAATGGCAAGTTTTCCATGAAATCTACCTATTATATGGCCAAGAACATTCAATGGTCTCATGAAGATAACTGGTCTTGGATTTGGAAAGTCAGTACCATCCCAAAAATCCAATATTTCCTCTTGCTTCTTATGCATGGTAAGATCCTTACCTTTGACACTCTTGCTCAGTGGGTGGTTCATAATAGTGGGTGCCCCATGTGCAGCAATGGACTTGAAACTTTGAATCATTTGTTTAGGGAATGTCAATATGCCTCGTTGATTTGGGACTCCAATAGACCTTATTCCTGCACTTCTCATAACCAAAATCTTGACTTTGGAAGTTGGATTAAAACCAACGTTTGCTAGAAGAACTCCAATAATATTCCTTCTACATGGCCTACTATTTTTCCTTATGCTATCTGGTCCATATGGTATTCTAGAAATCGACTTGTGCATGATAAAGGACAAATCCCTATTATGGAGCTAAAGTGTACTACCTTAGATAAAGCTCAGGAATTCATTAGGAACAACCTTGCCTACACTAAACCTAAACCCAGAAACAACATTTATGTTGGTTGGGTTCCCCCTTGGGTTTGTCAAGCTCAATAGTGATGGATCTGCCCTTGGAAACCTAGGTATGGCTAGAGCTAGGGTCTTCTTCAGGATCACTTTGGTAAGTGGATTATTGGTCTCTCCACAGAATATTGGATGGACCACCAGTATAGTTGCAAAATTATGGGCTATTAAAGATGGCTGGGAAGTTGCTATTTCTAAAGGATTCTCTGAAATTATTGTCTAAAATTGCTACTATCCTTATTGGGTCTGCTGATATTTCTCTGCACTCACTTGATGTCCTTATCTCTGATTACATATCACTTTTGGAACGCTTTTCTGATGCTCAAATATGTTGAAGTATGTTTCCTTGTGAGTGTGAGAAAACTAAAGATCCCACATCGTAAAAATATAGAGGGAAATAATGGCTCATATATGTGAAGACCCATAGAACTAATAGATTAGTTTTTTGGTTTCAATGTGGTGTCGAAACATGTAATGAACCACTCAATGTTGTCCTACTAAGTCATATGTCTCCCCAACAAATGGTATCAAAGCCAATGACGTAACATAACTAGTGGTAATTTCAGTCTTGGGCCGAGCTTAGTAAAAGTGAGAGTGAATGTTATGTAAACCCATGACGAGTATACCCATTGATGATGTCGTGCCCTTGATGAGTAGACCCATGGATTATGTCATGTATGTATGTATGTCAAAAATTAAAAAAATGGTTGAACTCTCATGGTCATGGGCCTTCACAACTCACAAGGAAAAAGGGACAACTCCCAAGGAAAAGGGGAGTGTTGAAGTATGTTTCCTTGTGAGTGTGAGGAAATTAAAGATCCCACATCATCATAGAAATATAGAAAGAAATAATGACTTATATATGTGAAGACCTATGAAATTAATAGACTAATTTTTTAGTTTCAATGTGATATCTAAACATGTAATGAACTATTCAATATTGTCTCGCTAAGTCATATGTCTCCCCAACAAGATATCCCATGTCTACAGGGAAGCTAATGCGCCACAGACTTCATGGCTAAGCTTGAAACTTCCACTGCTATGGATTTTGTTTTGTATGAGGAGAGCCCTCTTGGGATCTCTTCCATTTTGTTTCATGACTGTACGGGACTGTTCCCAAGAATTGTTGTAGCCGTTTAACTATATATATTTCATATCTCTATTTACCAAAAAAAAAATCATAAAT